GAGAAAGACAAAGAAGATATACAACAAAATTAACAGAATTATTAGAAAGTATCTTAGAAGTTCTATTATTACAGAATTTGAAAAGCAAAAGGGTTAAATCAGTTCATATATCTCCAAATAAAAATAGAAATCAAAGAAGAACTGCAATAGTTATGTTGGCAACAGAAGAAAATATAAAATTAGTCTAATCAAAACTATTCATATTTAACAACTTTCGACTTCATTGAATAAAAGAAGAAATAGAAAGAACAAGACAAAGAAAAAGCCTCAAACAAGAAAGAAGAAAAAGCTAGAAAAGGTTTAGTTAAGCCTTTGATGCAGAAGAGAATATTAACAGAAAAGAAGAACATAAATATGGGTCAAGCATAAACAGAAGAAGAAGAAGACAAAATCGAAGAATAGAAAATCAAACAACAACAAGCAAAGGCTATATGCAAGATCAAGCTACAAAAAATAAAACAAGATATATAAACTTATTCAAAAAAAAGATAAGTCTTATAAAAGAAAAATAGCTGAAACCAAGTCTCAAGTATAAGAAAAAAACTCTTATACAAGTAACATCCTAAAGTGAATTGTAGAAAGCTTAAAAGATTAGAAGACATAAGAAGTATAATAAAGAAAACTCTAACTGATTGCTTCTAAGGGCACTCCAGTTGAACCAATAAGTATAAACCAGAAGATTGAAAAGTTTCTATATAAAGAAAAAATAAATTTTAAAAAAAACAACATAGAAACACCTTCTAGTCACAAAAAAAAAACAAAGAAAAAAAGAAAACAAGGAAGTAGATATAGAAACACAATATAAATATCTGGAAAAAAAATAGAAACAAAAAAGAAAAGAAAGCAAAATTGCATGTTACAATATTAACGAACTTAAAACCAGAGGTTGAAAGTTAGAAAACTTTATAAAATAGGCAAGTGAAAAAGAACTTATAATAGTAGAAATAACAGAAACAAATATTACAAAAAAAAAAATTTTTATTATACAATTGCAGTATACAATATAAAAGTTACTAGACTAGTGCAGTAATAACAAGAAAAAAGAGTCAGATATAAAAATATTAATAGACAGAAGGTAGAAAAAGTATGTAAGAGCAGTTAAAAGAATCAGCAAGTACTTGCTAGAGATAAGATTATATTTTAAACAACTAGAACTAGTAGTATTAGAAATATATATCCTATCAAATAACAAGTTAATTAGCAAGAAAATTCAGCAAAGAATCATAGAGATAGTAACAAACAAGAAAAAAGATACAGAAATAGTTATATTAGATAACTTCAATCACATAGTAGATAATGTATTAGATAGATAGTATCCACAAACATCAAAGTTATAAAAGACTACCAATATTTAGCTAGCTCAAAAGACAGGACTTTGTAGACTTATTTAGAAACATGCTTCTAGCAAAAAAAGCATATACATAGTCAAATTAGGAGATGACAACAAGAATAGATTATATCTAGCTATTAGAAACATTTGCATCAGGCTTATAGAAAGTAAACATAGAAGAAGCAGAAGGTTTAACAGATAGTGATCACAAAATAATAACAATAGAGATATGAGTAGATCATATAATCACAAACAGCAGTAAGGCAGAAACCAAATGCAAAAACCAAATAAGAACAATATATCTATATAATGAGGCAAAACAAGAAGACTGCTTTTGTAAAATTTATTCAGATCTTAATATCTATTTCACAGCATATTTGAATTATTTTACTAGACTCCTGCTTGCTCTTTAGACTCCCAATTTAGATAATATAATAAAACTATAATTAGTCTATTAACCTATCAAATTGATCCAATATTCTTTTTCTTCAGTCTGTTTTAACAATCTGGTTAGTAATATTTCCAAGACTTCTAACTCAAAGGTTCTTAACTATCTAGGTATTTTGATATTAGTATTTGTTTTTTAAAACTAGTCTTTATAGTAATACTGTCAAAAATTTGTATTATTTCTCTATTTGGTCTTTTTAAATAAACTTCTTGTTTTTTAATTTATATGATCATAAGAACTTATCTAGAGTTTGCACCATCTAATATTAGTTTGCATTCTTCTGTGTAATGTCAAACTTACACAGATGTTTTATAATCTGCCAATTATGCTAATGTACTCACTATTACAGATATCTTAACCTAATTGTTAAAAACAGTTGTTATAATACAAATATTGCATAGGTGATTATTCAAATTTTCATCATCAATAGGATTTGAACATCCAATTTACCACTTGAAAGGTTAACAACTTATCTACTTCACTAAGTTACTACATTCCATAATAGTTTTTTTTTAATTTAATATTTTATTTAATTTAATATATGTTTTTAATTTAATATTTTATTTAATTTAATATTTTTTTAATTTAATATATTTTTTAATTTAATATTTTTTTTAATTTAATATATTTATTAATTTAATATTTTTTTTAATTTAATATTTTTTTTAATTTAATATTTTTTTTAATTTAATATTTTTTTTAATTTAATATTTTTTTAATTTAATATTTTTTTTTAATTTAATATTTTTTTAATTTAATATTTTTTTAATTTAATATTTTTTTTAATTTAATATTTTTTTTTAATTTAATATTTTTTTTTAATTTAATATTTTTTTAAGTTAGCAATACGTCTACTACTACTTGCTACTATTTTGCTATTTTTACTATTACTGTATTTGGGTGCCGCCAAGTGAAAACCGAGACTTCTAAAAATAGAATCTTTAAACAAATGAATACGAACTTTAAATGATACTAATACGTGATCGAAAACAGTATTCTAGTCAGGCTGCTTAAAAGTCCGCATTCCGTTGTCTATTTTTAGAAGCCCGGTTTTACTATACTTTTAAAATCGAAAATAAATTGTAGTAAAAGTATAGTAGTGTAGTAGTAAAATAGTACTGTTAAATCTCTATAAGTGCACACTCTTGGGACCAAAGTTTAACAATGTGCACTTGGAGAACAATAAGAAAAAATGCATTTATGGAGATTATTTATATATTTGGGTCCGAATTTGAGTGTGCATTTAGAGAGAGTGCACTTATGGAGGTTTTACTATAGTTAATATTAGGCGTATTGCTAACTTATAGTAAACACAAACTATAGTTACTATAAAGTAACTATATCAATATAACTACTTTATAACTAATTGCAAGTAGTATTGAAGTAGCAAATTAGCAAGTTTCGGTAAAGTTGGAGTCAATGATAGGTTTTAAAAAAGAAAGTACAATAACCGTTTATATTGGAACGAAAATGGCAGTTATTTATTTTTTCAATAAGCGTTTGTTTTGATATAATTTTCTTAATCTGCGCGTTTATTTGGACGACTAAGAGTTCACTAATCACAACTTATTAAATACATCATGTAAACATATTGATCAAAAGCGTAACTGATACTGTATCCTAACATAAATATATTCGTTAGAGCGAAAATAAACTCAAGATTATCAATTTTTGATTAAAATCAGCTTACAGACACATGACAGTCATAAATATAATGGATAAATCAATTCTAAATAATTTTATTGACCATAAACAAAGTTATATCCAGGAATTTGAATTTAATTTATTGCAGTATTGAACGGAGCCGAAGGGATAAAATGTAAGCTTTCAAGTCTTTGAAATTCTCGAAAGGTCTAGTTTTAGGTTCAATTGATCTTAGAATCCGGAAGTTAAACCTAAACTATGTTCAATTTTGGATACCGAAACCTCGGTTAATAACAAACTTTTAATATGAAAATCTAACTTCACTAAATTTATTTGTCGATTAATTTCCTGAACATTAGATATCCAGAACATGACCATCTTCAAATATTTAATTCGTCATGTTGAAACTATAAGTATTTTATAGAAAAATGAATCAAGGAAGAGAACACAATACCTCTTCTGTTTTAAAATAGACAGCTCATTACTTTATAAAACAAAATTTAATATAGTATCAGTGTCAATTCAGAATATTAAATAGACTTTGAATACTAGAAATTTATATCTCGCTTATCTCGCTTATCTCGCTTGAACAATTATTCATCTTGTCACAACATTTGAAATTATATTTTTAAAGCCCATCAAGGGTTCGTATAGATTTTTTTTTTTTAATTGGTTACAAATATTAAGATATCAGATTTATTTGTAACAATGATTATTCAAAATTTAAATACTCCAATCATAAAGCATTATTTTGCTAGTTTTTAAAGTTGAAAGCATTGGATTGAATCATGGAATCAGAAAATCAATAGAATCAGAATGTAGTTACAATTACAAGCTAGCGGTCTAATTCGAATATATAATAAGAGTTTTACTTTATTAATGTTTAAAAATAAGTCAGACAAATAAATACAAGTATTTCGGTTTTGTCGATTGTCCAAATCATAGGCTGAAATCAAAGCTTTTATATTGTCGAAGTTTCTAACTCTCATTTAGCCATCTGAAAGTTGATAGTCACTAAGATTTGTACCCATCTACACCAATTCATTTTCCCAGTTGTTTCTCCAAAGAAAATACATGCTAAAAGTTATTAACATTGAAAATTTTGCTTTATTTCTTTTGTAGACTAGAGATTGGAACCCAACATTTTTATATCATTCACCTTAATAAAATGAATCTAAAGATGTTAGATGAAAATCGTTCGATTCTGATCATTGTCACTGTATCACGATATGTTGCCGAAAAATGTAAATGCACCACAATACCCCTTTCAATAATACCCGACCCTCCTTTATATTACGCAAATTACATTTCCATTGATTTTATTTAGAACGGGATGTGATTTATTAATAAAGGCTTAATATGCATTAACATTAATTAGAAAGAATGCTAATTATTAAATAACATACGAGTGTATTATACAGCTTTTTTTGATGTGGTTTTACATATATACATGCTTTCTACTTCGATACAGAATTTTATAAAATCCATATTGAATAGTTTGTTTTGTTTCTAAAATTTATTATATTTTTAAAATTAGATTTTAAATTATATTTTAAATTAACTTTTTAAATAATCTTTTTAAATAGTAGCGAAACTAGTTTCACCACCATCATCAAAATTTATGTCAAAACTATCCCTTCTTTCTTGAAATTTATTATAATTATGTCTTTCTTGTTGTTGCTGATATTGTAACATAACCAAATCATGATTTGGCATTATAATATTTTCTTGTTCCAGTTCCAGTGTACTTGGTTCTTCTAGAAATCCTGATTCTACAAAATTGTTCACTTCTCTAGGCTGCTGTTGTTCATTATTATCAATAATAGTTGTTTCGAAGAAATGTGAATCCTTTGGACTGTGTCTTCGAAACGCTGATAATGTAATGCCTATTGCTATAATACCTATTATGAATGTTGCTATTGTAACAACGATTATTACTATTATCGTTTCTAAGGGTGGTAATGGCCCATAAACGACTTGCATTTGAGTTGGTGTAGAAGAGGAAATGATTAGATCAGGAAAGGTTGTTGTTTGGGAAGCAGATATTTGGGAAGTGGTTGTGTTTGATGTTAAAAGAACATAACCAAGAGATTGAACATAAATATTAGGGGAAAAAGGTAAGGTAAAGAAAATAATTAAAAAGAAAGTAATGTAATTATAAGTTATTAACTTTAATGTAAAAGTAAAATTGGTGTTAAGGACATTAAAATAATTCATTATTGGTTAAATAGTTTATTAGTCGATTCTGACCATTTGTTCAAAAAAAAAAAGGTTTGATAAAATTTTTTGAACGTTCAGGAAGAATATAAGAATTTGTGTTAAAAATTTTTTATTTTTAATCTTGTACAAATTTTTATGTTGCGCCAAATCTATTTGTCACATTCTAGTTACCTATTAGATTAGATTTTACACACAGAAGATTCGATAAGTTATTACATATATGTTATGAGTTAAGAATTAAAGAAAAAGTTACAGGACTTACTACATAAAACTGCGTAACTTTTAAAATTAAGCATATGTCCGAATACACATTAGTTGAATTTTTTGTGAACCTCGAGTTAAAACTTGAATAATTGTAAATAATTGTAAATAATGGTTTAAAGTCAAAATGAATAAATGAATAAATGAATTTAATTAATTTAATTCGACGTTAAAAAAAAACAAAAAAAAACTTCTCATACTTTTCGATTAATATACCAGATATTATAAACTATAAATTTTGTTAATCGACCTTTTATTTTAAATTTTCCTAAAATGATCGTACATTAAACCATATTTGTTCACAGTTAAATTTTATTTTGGTAATAATTTGAAATTTAAGTTACTTACCGATAACTGGTCCTCTGTACATACTTTCGGGTCTGAAATTTGATATAAAATTGAAAAAAATACCCGCCATTTTACCTATTAACCTATTGACCCGTGAATTTGGAGACCTTATGTAAAAATTCATGCTTGCATCCCATAGTTATAGAAACTGCACAATAAAAGAGAAATTTCCCATGATTCATGGCTTACGGCACCTTGGTGTAACCAACGACGGTAAAAATTTTGGCCATATTTATTATTAGTATTTCAAATATATTTCTATAAAAAGAGATTAAATAAAAAATGTACCCGTGTTGATTCCGAACATTACTTCTTCGTGTACCAGGTTTCAAATTATTGCGTTTTTTTACTGTTAATTTGCATTAGATATTTTAAATTTTAGACGCACCACAACAGAAAATTCAACTTTACGTTAACATTATCCTACCATTCATGGGATACTGTTACATCATGTCGCATTTTTTTTGACATTTTGCATTACATGACCGGATTTGGTGATCCTTCGGAGCTTAATTCGTTCGATTTGGAAAAGGCTTTTTATTTTTAGAAACTTGAGTTACACGATATTCTGGTGTCATACTAGTGACTTGTACCGGCTGATTTGACCGTGCGGTATTGAGTTACTCTAGATGTCAGGTTTTTATGGAACAGGACTTCACACGCCAGCACTATGGTTTTCATTTCCGAAAAAATGTAGACAAAAAAGTCATTATATATCTAATCTAGGCTTATGGAGAAGTCAGAGTAGAAAACATCGGAATCTTGATAAAGGGAATGAATTGCTTTATCAACATCCTTGAATGTGTAATTAAACGTAATTGATCACAACAAACAATTTGTTTCAACCAAAGTTTACTAAAATTTAAAGTATAAATACGAAGACGATAGTGATATTTTTTACTTTTGTTAGAGAATTAAGCAACTAAACTTTTCTTTAACCACCCAATTCCTGAATTGATTAAGTGCAAAGCCTGAATCTTTATTTTTCAACTAAAATATTAAACTCGTGTTTAAATTTTTTTATAGCCACTTATTAAATCAATTCCTTTTCAAAAACTAAAAGTTTTTTATATACTTAAAGTTTTTGACACTGTTAGTTAATCTTTTGATTAGCATATACTCAAATTTTGACTAGCATACACTTAATTGTTTAATTTGAGATTGAACAATCTTTTCTTTAATCCTTTTTCTTTAATAAAGAATAAATAGCAACCATGTATAGAATCAGGTATATACTATATATCATTTATTATAACGAGTTTTAAATGTCTTGTTTAATTCTGTAAACTTTTGCCAGCGACGCAAACCAATATTTAATAATGACCGGTGCCTTTATTAATGATGTCAAGATTGCTAAAAAAGGATGGGTTATACCCGGTCAACGTTCTCAATTCTTTGATATCACACCTATGAATTATACACTTCAATTACAAGCTATGACAGCAGAAAAACTTGAATTCAATTTACCTGCTGTATTTACTATTGGTCCAAAAGATGATATAAAGAGTTTAGAAAAATATGGTAAATTATTGTCAGCCAAAGATAAAAGTTCGGAACATGTTAAAGATTTGGTTAGAGGTATCATTGAAGGTGAAACAAGAGTTATCGCTGCTGCAATGACTATGGAAGAAATTTTTCAGGAAAGAAGAGGATTTAAAGATAAAGTCATTAAGAACGTTCAGGCTGAATTAGAGCAGGTAAACTAAATTAAAAAAAAATTCTTTCGATACGCATACACACATGTATATATATTTATGATTGATTATTATTTTATAAAAAAATATTAGTTTGGTTTATTCATATATAATGCGAACGTGAAACAACTTGTAAGGATCATTTTTCATTTATATGTGATTTGTATATTCGTATATTCATAATAATTATTTAATATGCATTAAAAATAATGTATAACAGCAAGACACACAAGGAAGTGAATATTTCGCATATATGCGAACGAAAACTCACGAAGGTGCTATTAATCAAGCTAAAGTAGACGTTGCCGAAGCAAAATATAAAGGCGACGTCGGTTCTAAGCTTCGAGAAGGTTTGACTAGACAAGAAACGGTAATTAATTACTTTTTTTTTTATCATGATTTTAGCTTATTTATAACTTAATTTTATAATATTTTATCGTTATGCTTATAGTCAAAAATTGAATCCGAAACTGTCTTGGTTGAAAATGAACGCAAAATATCCATCGCTCAAGCAGAAATGAACTTAGCTACTAAAAAATCAGAATATGAACAACAAACTAAGATCGCAGCTATTGAAGCCGAGCAAGCTGCCAAGATGCGACAAGAAGAACTTCAAAAAGATGTTGAAGAACGTAGACTTTTATCCGAAACTGAGCGTCTTAGAGTTCAATATGTTGCGAAGGCCACTGCTGAATTTGAAGCTGCAAAAGCTGTCGCAAATGCTAAACTATATACAGTACAAAAAGAAGCCGAGGCTGAGTTATATAAGAAACAAAAAGAAGCTGAGGGTGTATTAGCTATTTATAATGCTCAGGCTGAAGGTATAAAGAATTTAATGCAAGCGTTTGGTGGCGATAGACAAGCTGCTCTTCAATACGTAATGATTGAAAGAGGTGTATATCAACAATTGGCCAAAGAAAATGCACAAGCTATTCAAGGACTCAACCCGAAAATCACAGTTTGGAATACTGGTGACTCTAACATTAATGGAAATGCAAATAATACAAACCCTATTGCTAATATATTCCAAAGTTTACCACCATTATTGTCAACTATTCAAGATCAAACTGGAATTACCCCCCCTAATTGGGTCGCTCAGATGCCATCTTCTAATACAAAACTTACCTCTAGTTAATTCTAGGATAATTCTAGGATCCTATATTAGCTACGTACTTTACTGTATTATTGTACATATGTATAAACTTTATCCAATAGCTTGTATTTGTCATTTTCTACTTTATTGTATTTGTTAATTTTCACATCCAATCACTTTCTTTAAATGATTATTATTTTATTAATAAAGGGTTATATTAATGATTTAAATTATATATATTAGATTCAATTGTCACACTTAAATCATTCAATTGGCATGTTAAATTTACAGATAATCCACCAATGTTTGCATACATCAGTAAATGTTGTACGGCTCAATAACACTTTAGTGTTTACAGATAATTTTGAAATGTGCAGGAGGAAACGACTCCTAAAAGAAGTAAAGAGGTTATTTAACGAACAAATATTTATAATTCAGCCCAAGATGATCGCAATAAATTCGGGATAATCTTTACTCACGCGATTACAATAAAATACGCCATGAACCGTGTAACAAGCATCACAAATAATCATAACATCCGATTCGAAATAGCGCGCAGACGTATGTATTTACGTACGTTTTGTAGGTGAATATATTTTTGGTTTATATTACTAAAATCAAATTGTAAAGAATTATCTATCATCATTTGTATAAAAAAAAATAAAAATAAAAATTAGAGTTGTCCATGTTAGCATTATCATCACATCATTACCATTATTACCGTTTAGCACTGTTTATAATAGGCCCATAAAAATTATATTTTCTAAGTTAAGATCCGGATACGAAATAAGGGTTCTCTAGTAGTCAAATACGCGTTTCTTTTCGAAATTTCGAATTAATTTAGTATTCCATATCGATATGAACCGATCGGATAATATTCGTATTAGATCCGAAAAATCGGATCTGGATCCGAAACCACAGTGATAAATGTTGATCAGAGACCTCTAGATATGGAAATGACTTTGAAAGACTTATGATAGTCAATCAACATATTCTAAATTTTTTAGCAAATCGGAAAATCAATACCAAGAATTTGTGTGAGAAAAAAGTAAGATTCAAGTTTTGACTTAGTACATACTATGTTTTGTTTAATAGAAACTAAGTTGCATGAGCTTTTAAAACAATATAACGATAATAATAATGTATAAAAATTTGGTTATATTGTGAGAATTTTTTATAGAATACATTCGATTCTAAAATTCTAATTGGTTTCAAATCCACTTAAATTTCGCATTTATAATATAACCATATTAATTGGTAATTCGCGGATGAATTAGAATGATATTTGCGTATATGTTGCTTATAAAAATTATTAATAGTATCCAAATATAAATTTCCCGAGAATTATAGTAAAATATAAGCTTATAAATTTTTGAATACAAGTTTAAATAATTATATTAAAAAAATTAATAATATTTTTTTTATAAAAAGGTAGACAAAATAGGTTATCTATTATAATTTAAAATTTTATTTTTATGGTTATATTGTAATAAATATTAAATTCTCATTCGTGAATTTTAATTATTTTTTGAAATAGTTGATTAGACCAGATTCTTTAGGGATACAAATCAGCTGTTTATATTTTTATTATAAATTAAAGATAACCAATCAAGCTATTTTGTATCTTCTACGTATACAAATCTAAATTTAACAGATTATTATAAATTTAAACATATTGTATATTTTTATAAAATAATTTTTTAGAGCAAAATAATATTACGTGACAACTATTCAAATACAATTATGACAAAATTATTAATCAATATTTTTAATAAATACTGGTTATGTTTTTATTATTTTATTAGTAAAATTTAAAATACTGTATTTTATATTAGTACGTATAATTCTTTTTTTTTTTAATGTTAAGACGAGTAATTGCGACCCAGGAGTTTATTGATAATCAGTTGGCATATAACTATTGTGTACAACAGCTACAGAGGCAATCATGGAAAGAGTGTACAACTAGCCACTCATATAACTTTAATCATTGTCTATTTTAAGTAGTCCGTCCGAAGGTTCTACACTAGTTGCCATACCTAGAACCCATCTGTGAGTTCTCTATTTAAACATTCTAGTTCCCATATCCATCTCTACCCTATCAACTGCATGGTTACTGCAAATATACCATGATTATTAAGTCATGTTTAATTTTATACTAAACCCACCAGAGTCTTCTGTATTCCATACTTACAGCTGACCTGATACTGCTCTGGTCTAGGTCATCACTTGTAGTCAGATTTAACTATTAAACTGATATACCCTTATAAAGTTCACTAGAATCTTGATACCTTTCTTTTCTAACATCTTCTTCTTACTCTGAATTTACAAGATTTCTCAAACTACTGATTCAGATGATCTAGTATGATATTCTAAGATCCTTTTCCTCTAGTAATTTCTGGTAGCCTGGTTGGTATATGTTTCTCTATACATATTGTTATCTGTTCTATCCTAGTTATTTTTTCTAAGATTTTTGATGATTCGATAGTATTATCAAAAGTCCATGTTATCTCTTTATTTGGAATTTCTAAATGGATTTCCATACTCTGGTTTTTTAAAGTTATGCACCTGGTGGTCTTATTATGAGTTTGCATTGAAGTCTTATACAATTATAGTTATTTAATATTCCTCTATATATGTGTAATGTTGCATTTTACATAAATGTTCTGAGTTCCTATTTGAGATAATATATCTAAGATTATAGATCTTCTTCTTTTATTCAACTAATTAATAAAATACAGTTATCATATTACAAGTACAATTATTCAAATTTTTAGTATTTATGAGATTTGAACACTAAACTTGCCACTTGAGAATTAACACCCTGTCTATTTTACTAGGTCACCACACCCTTTATAAATATAATTTTTTAATTTTTAGATTTATTGTATATATATAGCTTTATCAAATAACTTTTAATTGCAGTCTAATTATGATTACAAATTATAAAAAAAAATATTTTTATTTATATAAATTATTATAAAATATAAAAAAATTAATTTTTATATAGACTCTATTATCCTAATATAATCATCAGATTGACAACTAAAATTTAATATAATTAATTTTTATTTTAAATATTGTTTATTTTAAATATTATTTATTTTAGGAAAATTATATTTAGTATACATTATAATAAAATAAACTTAAATATTTGATTAAAATTAGAATTAAGATTAGAGCTAAGATTGGGCTAGTATAAAATTATATAAGAAATATTTTTGTTTATATTATAAGATAGAATTATTCTAGTAAAATTTTAAGATATTAAAAAAATACAAAATATTTCAAAAATAAATACTATTATTTAAAAATTATTTTTTTAAAATATTATTTATTTTAAGAATATTATTATTTATAATTTAAGATAATCATTATCTTAATGCTATATTTTAAAAACAAAACTAAAAATAGAGTCTGATATACTAATTAAAAATGTTTAGAATTTTTTAAAATCTTATATAACTTAAAGTTAAAAATATTATATTTAATCTCTATATTGGTTTTAAATTACATTCAACTTTAAAAATAGTAAGATAATAATCATTTTAGATTATTAAATTATATTTTTTATTTATTTAATTTTTTATTTATTAAGGTTGATATTTATAGCAGTTATTATCTTTATTATATTTTAGTTAATGCATTACATATAACTTATATAAAATAAATATGCAACTAGTTATGCATGCAACTTTTTGTTATTTATTTAAATAGTTTATATACTAGTTATTATATTTATAATTTACTAAAAAATTACTTATTTAAATACTTTTAATTTCTATACTGCATCTAAGTAAATAGTTATTTGGTTTTTGTATATCTAAATGTTTTCTAATTCAATATTAAGTCTTTATTTTTTTTATTTTTTGTATATTTATCAGATTGTTATTCATACTAAAACATGTTATCTGACTGTAGGATTTTGAATGTATTTTTGTTAACTAATCTATTTATTTTATAGATTATTAATAAGATTATACTCCTGTAAAGTTTATTTAAATCTTAATATTTACTTTATATTATATTTCTAATACTTTTAATATATTTTTGATTTATCTTCTAAATCTTAATTTAGATAGTCTAATAGAACTGTAATCTGTTTTTGGTATATTAAGTCTGATTTAATATCTTTTTTCTTTGATCTAATTCTAATGATATAGTTAGTATATCTTTTATATAAAGGTTTTTAATTACTTGATTTCTTTATATTAGTACCTGTTTTTTAAATTTAATTTTTATAATAATATTGTTAAAAATCTGTATTATCTTTTTATTTGAGTTTTTCTAAATAGGTTTCAGTTTTTTCTAGTTTTATAGATTTATATAATCACAAGAACTTATCTTAGATTTGTATTACCTAGTACCAGTTTGCATTCTTATATATAACTAAAGTTACACAAATGTTTTATAATTTGTTAATCATGCTAATGCAATTATAGTTACAAATATCTTATTTTAACTAATTAACAGAATACCATTACTATAATACAAATATATATTTTAAATTTTTGTCTTTGTGGGTTTTAAACTTACAATCTGTTATTTAAAAGGTAACAACTTATTTACTTCACTAAGTCATTATATTTTATTTCTTATTTTAAATATTATTTTTATTTCTTAAACTGTATTCCAAGCAAATTTGTCTAGAAAATTAAATTATATTTAGTATTTTTTAAATAAAATAATAA